CATGCGCTGTGATGTTTAACGGTTTCATGCATGTTTAAGTCGCTACTTAGGCCTAGTACTTCTCAAAAAAAGCTTAGCTTTGAGATGTTTACAGGAATTATGCTATCCATTCCCACTGTAGGCAACAACTTTCCATCAAGCCAAGAGTTAGCTACTTGTGAACCTCCTTATTTATTATGCGGTTGCTTGGATATGAGTAAGAGCCAAGTGCTCTCTATTCTCCTGAGGTAACAGAGCTGATGTATTGATTTTTAGATTCTGAGAATATATCTAGCTTTAGCATCTAACAACAACTTCTACATCTGCCAGTACCAAGTACGTCGAACCTTGAAATTACTGGAAATTGGTCGGTATGCTCCAAAGAGCAGATTACAGAGAGAACATAGGGAGGAAATCGGACAGTTTTGTCGCAGTTATAGTAGGAGTGGCAGTTGTATTCTTTGTGCTCTGGCGCACTTGGCCTTTTGTGGGGATGATGTTTGAGCACAAGAAAAGAAAACGGAAATTGGCACAGTTTAAGAAAATGGAGGTCCAGGATGAAATACGAAGGAGACGACGAAAAATGAGGAGAAAAAGGTTAGTTTGTATGTTCTCACAAATATGGTTAGTTGTTTTGCACTTTAGGAAAAAGCCAAAAAGAAAAGAATTAAAAAAGCTAAAAAAACGTTTGGAGACAGCTGATACACAGGTATGTTTGACGTTACAGGTTCCACACTCTCAATACTTACCCAGTTATCTGCGCTTATTAGCTAAAGCAAGCGTTGAAAGAGTATCTAGCTGGGCAGACAGAAACATATGCGACTACGGTTGATGAACCCGAAGCGGCGGAAGTCCCCTCATCATCTGGCACCTCGGCCCAACAAACTTCTGCCTCAGCATCTGCACCGAAAACTCCAGTTGGTGCACCAGGTCCAGCGAAAGTACCAGCATATGTATCGTCTTCAGGAAAGAGTAGCCCCTCTCAAGGCCTAACACTAGCACCGGAGAAAGAAAGCTCCGAGAAACCTGCTGTTATCCCCGCAGCTGTGAAAGATGAGACATATGAACAGGTCGGCGGAGAAGCTGTTGTCGAACCACCTCTTCCAATATCGCCTCGATTTTGTACCAACTGGGCCCAAATAATGTCATTCTATGTTTCATGCAGTAGATTATCAATTGTTTTGCTACTTTGAATAAATCTATTGATTGTTGCCTCTCTGTAATGTAATTGGATTTGAAATAAAGGAAAAAATTATTGGTTTAGGAGGTTTCTTCTAGGGAAAACTTATTTGACAATCTTTTTTTGTCACACCAACTTCTTTTCATTTAAGAAAAACCAAAACAAATTGCCCATCTGTACTTTCAAAGGAGTTGGGACATCAATACTTCCATTTCAAAGAATCTCGAAGAAAACACAAGACAAATATTTGAAAT